GGGATTGTAGGTGGGGGGAGTGAATGTACAGTGCTCTCTTCCACCTTTAATACCACGACTGAGGTGCCCTTGAGCAAGGCACCGAACCCCCAACTGCTCCCCGGGCACCGCAGCATAAATGGCTGCCCACTGCTCCGGGTGTGTGTTCACGGTGTGTGTGTGTGTGTTCACTGCTGTGTGTGTGTGCACTAAGGATGGGTTAAATGCAGAGCACTAATTCCTAGTATGGGTAACCATACTTGGCCACATGTCACGTCACGTCACGAAATACTGTTCCAGGGGCTATTTCTACCTGATCAGTGTAAGTTGCCATGAGAACATCATCAAAATGAGGTTTTTCCTTTTTTTGGGATGGAACAGGATGGCAGGAAAACCCTGGAGAACCAGGTGAAGAGGCTGGAGATGGTGGAACGGAGAGAAACTAAACTCAAAGAAGACATTCAGACCAAGTCGCAGCAGATCCAACAGATGGCCGACAAAATCATGGTAAGCCTGAGACGCGAGCAAGCGCTGAACTCCCGCTGATTTACACATTCTGTATCTTAAACACACACACACACAAACAAACAGGTGAACACTGGAGCTGTTCACTCAACACGACGTGTCAATGAAATGCGTTTGCTGCGCTCCAGAAACGTCTTCTGGAGGTATCACATGCACGCAGTAAAGCTACTTAAGACGCGTAACACTTCTTAGTCACGCGCGGTATACCTCCTCAAACACTCACGCTTGCATTAAACACATGCATTTTCTGTTTTATTCGTTTTTCTTCGACCTGCTTAGCCTGGCAGTGTCAGCGCTTCTTTTCCTCAGCTCCCAGCATGCTCTCTGGCCCTGTCACGGCTCCAAAAGTGACAGATTGCAGTGGATCGTCTCAGTCTTTGGCCATGATCATGTGTGTCACAATGACGATGTGTTTTTAGCTGGATGATTTATACCGTACATTATTGATTTTTATGAATTAGTGACGATTAACAGGTGCTTAAAAATGAAATGGCACATTTTGAGTTCATCTGGAGACCAGAGTTGTTATCGGTAATTAAAAATAAAACTATTAAAACTGTTAATACATTCGATTGAACTACATTTAAATCTAGACTCACAACAACTGTTTAGCTGTGCATTTACTAAATGAGCACTGTGCCAAGTCTGAATGATTGCACTGTATGTTATGTATCCTCATTTTTTATTCTTAACTGTTTTAATGCATTTTAAATCATTTTTTAAAATAATTTCACATTTTTTCTTTTACTTTGAGATTTTAATTCCTTTTGATGTAAAGCACTTTGAATTACCATTGTGTATGAAATGTGCTATATAAATAAACTTGCCTTGCCTATTAAAAATAGTTTTAATTAATTAAAATAAGGCTGAAATGAAATAAAATATAAATATTGTGTGAACTTAAACTTTAAAAGAGTTGAAGTACAAAAATGACTAAAACTGAAATAAAAGTAAATTATAGAAATATTTAGAAATACAATAAAAATGACAAAAGCACATAACAAATTACTAAAACAAAAATTCAAATAAAAACTGAAAGTACAAAATACATTACTGATAACAAAAATGAGGAAAAGCAAAACTATTTAAATACACGATATGCTGTATATAAACTAAAAACTATAAACTAATAACTTTTACTGTTTTTCACAGTAAAAGTTATGGTTTGTTCTTCCAAAAATGATACATTTGACTGTATTTTACTGTATAATTACATATAATGCAATAGTAAACCATTTACATTTTTTGTAAAATATATATGGTGGGGTAATTTGCAATTAACTAACTAACAGGTTAATTAAAACTGTTAAAAAACTGTTTTCATTAATTAATTTAAAGCTTAAATAAAATATAAATATTATATGAAAAAAATTAAAAAGTTGAAGTACTAAATTGCTAAAATTGAAATAAAAATAAATGAAAGCAAAATACAAATATTTTAAATATATTTAATATGAATGAGAAAGGCACAAAATTATTTAAACTTGAACAAAAATTTTAATGAAAACTGAAGATATAAAAACAAAAGCTAGTTCGAAATATTAATAAATACTTTAAAAGTATATAAATAATACAAAAATATAACTACTGGAGACCTGTTAGGGAAATATGTTATCAATTAAAAACGTTCCTACTGAGATTAAATAGAGACTTATACTGAAGTCCCACACTTTTAAAATGTTTCTTCTGGGAAAAATAACCTAGCAGTTCTTCTTCTCTTGTCTGTATGCAGGAACTCGAAGAGAACTTGCGTGAAACACAGGCATCAGCGCAGCGTGTGGAAACACACCTGGAACAGAAGAAAAAGCTTTATGAAGACAAGATCAAGGTCAGGCCACACACACACACTTCTGCTTGTGACAAATATCAGTGATGTTCAACAGAGCGGTTATCGTTGGGTTCACACAGTGACAGGACCGATATACTTTAGTGCTCGTTATTAATTTTATAGCTACTGAATAAAAGATCCTGACTCTGTGTTTATCTTTGGATTTTGATGAAACCTTTAAAGGCCTCATTTTGAAGGTACTTTCTGTTCGTTTGTCAGGTGTAATAACCCAGTGCTTGTGTTTTGTAGGTTTTAGAGACTCAAATGAAGGCTGATTTGGCTGAAAAGGAACTGCTGGAGTCCAAGCAGAACACGTATGAGGAATATGTTATCAATTAAAAACGTTCCTACTGTTTTTCCTAAAATAAATGAGATTAAATAGAGACTTGTACTGAAGTCCCACACTTTTAAAATTTTTCTTCTGGGAAAAATAACCTAGCAGTTCTTCTTCTCTTGTCTGTATGCAGGAACTCGAAGAGAACTTACGTGAAACACAGGCATCAGCGCAGCGTGTGGAAACACACCTGGAACAGAAGAAAAAGCTTTATGAAGACAAGATCAAGGTCAGGCCACACACACACACTTCTGATTGTGACAAATATCAGTGATGTTCAACAGAGCGGTTATCGTTGGGTTCACACAGTGACAGGACCGATATACTTTAGTGCTCGTTATTAATTTTATAGCTACTGAATAAAAGATCCTGACTCTGTGTTTATCTTTGGATTTTGATGAAACCTTTAAAGGCCTCATTTTGAAGGTACTTTCTGTTCGTTTGTCAGGTGTAATAACCCAGTGCTTGTGTTTTGTAGGTTTTAGAGACTCAAATGAAGGCTGATTTGGCTGAAAAGGAACTGCTGGAGTCCAAGCAGAACACGTATGAGGAGGAATCTCGCGAGCGGGGAAAAATGATCAGCGACCAGACAGCGGTAACATGTTATTTAGCTTTTTCTGAGAGAGAGACTATAATTTTTCATTGGGAAAAATTACATAGTGTGACCCTATTAATTAACACTGATCTTTGTGCTGTTGTGCAAGACAATAAATTCAATTTATTTATTTATTTTGCATCGTGGTATGTTTTTAAACTTCTCATTACTGTAAAAAAAATCTGCTGTGAATTTGTTGATTTAAATAAAAAAAAAAATTCTATGGCAATAAGTGTTTTACTGTAGTGCAATAAAAATACTGTATTGACAGCATTAAGAATAATCAAAGATAATAGGAATTACAAAAAACGTGTTGTGACAATACCAACTAAAATTTCATTTTCCTCTGTACCAATTTCACTACCATATCAAAAACTATTGGACCTATTTAAATATTTTCTTTAGTATTAAAAAAAAAAGATTAAGTTAAATGAGTTAATTAATTCTACTAATAATTATAAGTAAATAATACATTAAAACTTTAGCATGTAGACTTGAAATATTTTTTATATTAAGTAAGCACTGGTTTTAAAAAGGTCAAGTGATTAATGAAGTTAAATGAAGAGCAAAAAACCTAAATGACTCAGTAATCAGTATCTTTTTGGTAAGATTAAGATACTATTATAGTTTTAATTAATAGTTTAAATTCATTTTTATTTTTTTATATTTTCACTTTAATTTTAGTTAAAGTTTTAGTAATTTTGTTGTGTTTTTGTCATATATATATGTATATTAATAATTTCGTGTGTGTGTGTATATATATACTGTATATACATATATGTGTGTGTATATATATATATATATATATATATATATGTGTGTATATATGTATGTGTGTGTATATTAATAAACTGTATATACACTGAACAAAATTATAAACGCAACACTTTTGTTTTTGCCCCCATTTTTCTATTTATACAACCCAGCATTTTGTAGAGTGTATATATGTGTATATATGTATGTGTGTGTGTATATTAATAATTTTATTATTTACTTTTATTTTATAAGTAAGATTTTTTGTTACGTTTTAGTTAACTATAATAACCCTGCTGGTACTGTAGGAAGGCTAGTATTGTTACTTTTGTAAAATGTAGTACTAAAGCACCAGTACTTTTGAGAAGACTATACTGTACTTGTTTGACTATACTGATTCACCAGCATGACCAGCACTAACCAGCTGGCCTCGTAAAGAAATTCAAGCTGTTCTGTTCATTATTGAACTAAGGTTCTGCTTTGAATTATAATGTCTAATTTACTCATCAGTGACTCTGCTTCATGTAGACGATCAATGCCATGGAGTCAAAGATGAGCAATCTGGAACAGAGGATCGCTGAGCTGTCCGAGGCCAACAAACTGGCAGCCAACAGCAGCATTTACACGCAGAAAAACATGTGAGTTTACATCCATGAACACACAGACTCCAGCTGATTCAGTGATGGATGGAAATCAATTACAGTTGCTAACCATAAACAGCCTACAGTTAGACTAACACATTATATTACTTGACTGAAGAGCTGTTTGTTTGGATTATTTTTAGTAACACATTTAATTATTAATCGAATTTTAGTCTTTTATCATATTGCGGTTGCCTGTTGTTGTTATGTAAAAGCAATTAGTCATTCTGCTTCATGCTGTGCTACATATTGTCATAAAATACACAGTTTGTATTGGATATGGTATTCTTTGCAAATACTTTTTTTGCATTGAAGTATATACCAGTCACTTAAAATAATGTTGAAGTGCTAAAATGACTAGAACTGAAATAAAAATAAATTAAAGCTGAATAGAAATATTAAAAAAATACCGAAGCACACAACAAAATTACTAAAACTTGAACTAAAATGAAAACTGAAAATAAAAAAAGTACATTGCTGCTAAACAAAAATAGGAAGAAACAAAACTATTTAAATAAACTATAATCATATATATAATATTGTACCGAAGCACACAACAAAATTACTAAAACTTGAACTAAAATGAAAACTGAAAATAAAAAAAAGTACATTGCTGCTAAACAAAAATAGGAAGAAACAAAACTATTTAAATAAACTATAATCATATATATAATATTGTGAGGGGAATTCTGGGAATGTCCTTTTATTGTTTTTTAATACTGGAGGCTAGACTGCGAGAGGTGAGTGACGACCAAGACCATCGTATGACGACGATGATGAGACAGTTTGATGAACTTGAGGAGAGTTCCCGAAAAAAATCTGAAGAAATGTATAAGAAGTTGAAAGCAGTTGCGCTGCTGCTTGTTTTTGTGAAAACAGCGATACATTTTTTCAGGTTTCTTTGTTGAATAGAAAGTAAAAAAAAAACAGCATTTATTTGGAATTTTCTGATTTTTAACATTAAAAATGTCTTTAAAAAGTCACTTTTGATAAATTTAATGCATCCTTGCTGAATAAAATAACGTATTTCTTTCAGATAACAACAAAAATCGAACTGACCCCAAACTTTTGAACATTTCTTGTTTTAAATCATTTTAATCATGCCTTTTTTCAGTTCATTTAAATAGCCCAGCAGGGTGACAAATATTCCATGTGGTCTCTTAATTAATATGAGCCTGTGATTAATGTGATTATTATGAGCTCTAATCTGCTAAATATGACTGTAAGGCATGCATATGTTATATGTTACAAACATTAACATCATGAATTTTTGTAAAGCTGCTTTGAAACTGTTTGTATTTTGTAAAATGCTATACAGATACAATTGATGCACTCGGGGAGAATTCTGAATCATGTTTCACCCCAAAATCAACAGAAATAAATAAATTAGATTTTGCATTAATTAATATGAGCCTGTGATTAATGTGATTATTATGAGCTCTAATCTGCTAAATATGACTGTAAGGCATGCATATGTTATATGTTACAAACATTAACATCATGAATTTTTGTAAAGCTGCTTTGAAACTGTTTGTATTTTGTAAAATGCTATACAGATACAATTGATGCACTCGGGGAGAATTCTGAATCATGTTTCACCCCAAAATCAACAGAAAGAAATAAATTAGATTTTGCATAAACACAATGAAGTCTAAAACTATTAGAAAACTATATGTATATATATATATATATATATATTATATATATAACTTTTTTTCTTGCATCATGCCATTATTTTAAATTTCTCATCACTGTAAAAAATTATTTGTTGATTTAAGTAAAAAAAAATCATTGTAATATGGCAACAGTTGTTTTACTGTGATGCAATAAAAATACTGTATTTTCAGTAATGAGAGTAATCAAAGATAATAGGAATTATAAAAAAGTTAAATAATGACAATTTTGAGGAAATTTCTGCCTAAAAGAAAAGTTCACCCAAAAATTAAAATTTGCTGATAATTTACTCACCTTCAGGCCATCCAAGATGTAGATGAGTTTGTTTCTTCATTGGAACAGTTTTGGAGAAATTGAGCATTGTCACATAAGCCGCTTTTCCACCGAAGTTACCTGGCACAGTCTGTCCCAGGAACTTTTTTCCCTGTTGCTGTCTGCATTTCCATCGCGGTCTAAAGTACCGTCAAGATTAGGCTATTAGTCTGGTGATGTAGGTCTGCGCGCGTTTCTCAATTCCAAGTACGCAAAGTTCTGCAAATGGAACAGCAGTGTACTTGATAACGTCAGTCAGCTCGCCTTGGCTACTGCAATTTTCCTCACTGTATTTACAATAAGACGAAATATGATATCAAACACCACTGCCTCTTTTCGTTTTCATTTAAACATATTAATAGCCGCAGAAATGTAGTTCAGGGAACGTACATACATTACAATGAAACTAAATATTATATCAAACATTGCCTTTTTTATTTTCATTTTAACATATTAACCCTTTAGGTGCCAGGGATTTTTGGGAAAAATGCTGGATTTTGACATCAAGATTTCAAAAGCTTGTGGCTTGAAAAGGCTTAAAGATAGACATCTACTGTAAATTAAAAAAATGTTGGGCATGACCGAAAGTTTATGTGGGGTGTAAATATACTCGTCTAATTTGCATATTATGACGTCATCAGGGGCGGCCATCTTGAATTTCATAATATTCAGAAAATAGTAGATATTGAATTGATGTTTGAACTTATTTGCATGTTTTTTTTCGTCATTTCCAAAAGGCAAATATTCCCCTTCAGAGTCAGAATCGGCGAATAACATTTGCAACACATCCTCACGGTACAACTTTTTATTAGTCATTTGGCGATTTTCTCTCACAAATCTCACAATTTACTTGCACGCTATGAACTGAACTGCTTCCGCATCAATGACACGATAGCTCACTTGCTCTGCTATTTCCTCGAACACTTTGAATAGGAACGTGACGTCATTTTGGTCTAGAATCGAAGTACTACATGTCTGCCATCTAGTGGTAGGGAATACAAATGAGATATTACACCATATTAGGAACTACAGTCTATTTTATTAAGTATGACGTCTTGTCGCAATTTTGTGACTTTGGCGCTTAGAGGGTTAATAGATTATTAAGACCAAACATTACCTGTTAGATTTACCCAAAACAAATTATATCTCATGTTTTACAACTACAGAGACATCAGAGCCAGTGGAAAATGCCAGAAGGACTAGCCGAGGTGAGGCTGCTCTCGTCGGGAAACATGAGCACTGAGCGCCCGCTGATCGTCCTGGCGCTCACGTCTCCGAAATCGGCGACGCACATTTTCAAATAGGCGCTATCTTTATAAATAAACTGCAGATTTGAGTTTAAACAACTACATTCTCGCCTGGAATACTTTTAAAACTACATTTCATGACACAATAACAGTAATATTTTAAAAAAATAATGTGAATAATTCAGAATGCTGCGTGAACTCAACCAATCAGCATGTTCAGCGCCCAAGTCCCGCCCCCGAAAGTTCTGGACCTTTGAAAAAGTACTACCTCGCGAGCAGAGACTTTCTGAGGGGCAAATTGTTACCCGGAACTTTATTTAGATCCTGTTTCCTGTGGTGGAAACACACAGAGTACCGGCCCAAAGTTCCTAGTTCCTGGGGAAAGTTCCTGCGGCGGAAACGGGCTTATACTCACCAATGGATCCTCTGCAGTGAATGGGTGCCGTCAGAATGAGAGTCCAAACAGCTGATAAAAACATCACAATAATCCACAAGTAATCCACACCACTCCAGTCCATCAACTGACCTATCGGTAAGCCCCTCCCCTCGAACACAGATGAGCCAATGCCAGTCGAGTATCAGTTGCATGGGAAGCGGAACTCGGACATCTTTAGGTTTTAGCACCATAGAGAAACACTGGAAGATCCAAAGCTCGCATCGGTTTGATGGTGTTTATGCTTCGAAAATGGAAAACCGATGTGCCTGGGGTACTTGAAACACTGATTCCAGGTATCCTGAGAGGATAGGCAATAGAATTTATGAACCTAAACCTGAACCTAATCCCAATGAAGACGAAAACGTTCATTTTCTGATTGTCATACTCTCATTAAGTTACAATTTTCATCTGCTCAAGCAGAACATTAATGTCATCTTGTGCTTCAGCAAGGTATCTCTGGCTAAAACTTACATTAAAGTTAGTACATCCATGCTAATGTACAAACCTAAATAGCGAACTGTTCTCACGTCATGTACGGTGTAAAGTCAAGTCAAAAACGCTTAAACAAAGGTCTACATTTCAGTGCCTCTCCATATTAAAGGGGTCCTATTATGCTCTTTTACAAAGTCTTGATTTTGTTTTGGGGGTGTACTAGAACATTGCTCTCATGCTTGGTGACACATAATTTACATTATTACAATACCTTTCTCCCCATCCTGGCACAAACGGCTCGATTAGTTCCGGCTTTGATGAAGGTCCGCCTTCCGAAAAACAAAATGTGTTGTGATTGGTTAGCTGTCCCAGTGCGTTGTGATTGGCCCGAAAATTTTACGCTACAGCACAGCAGCTCTTCTTCTTGGTTTTCTCTGATGCACTAACTCTGCAGCAGCACTTCTTCTTCATCGTCTCGTCTGATGCGCTCACTCAACCAAGCGTTCTAACCACAACCTCGCCCCTCCCCACCCCCCAACCATTCGAATTTCTGTAGGCGGGAATTATTTTTAATGATATTCTAATGGGCCGCTTTGTGATATCACAAAGCCCGGAAAACAACGTTGTAGTCCAAACGAGCCGTTCGTTGTAGTTCTTGAAAAGGGATTTTTTAAAAACAAAATATCTCCCTTTGGAGTGGACTTTGAGATTTGTAACTTTCTAGATCTTTTTTATGCCCAAACATACACACTACACACTGACTAAAATTAAAAAAGTGAAAAAGCATAATAGGACCCCTTTAAACTGGTTAAATGTAAATTAATTTAATCGTACCCTGCGGTACATGAACTGTGTTGATCCGAGATGTTGTCATTGTGATTGTAACGACCGTAACATGAGACTTCTCCTGTTTGCATTGTGATCTCTATTTTTACATATTTATTTTGAAATATTGTATACAGCATATACCTCCATATCATATTTAAGTCCCACTTAAATGATGGTCCTTCCGTGTCCAAAAACATCTTGGGACAAGGTTTTCACATTGACAGCTGTCATTGTAAGACAGTAGCAACTCCGTTTGTTTGTCAGAGTGCGCAACAGTAACTAAGGGGGGGCGGGGCTTACCAATAAGTCAATTAATGTCTTGTGAAGCCAAAAGCTGCATGTTTGTAAGAAACAAATCCATCAACTGTCACTTCTGGCCAAAATGCCATAATCCATAAGAACACTGAAAAAGACTGTCTCCTCTTGTCAAAATCAAAATCCACCCAAATATTTGTTTAGAATAAGTCTGTTTTGGCTTGTAAACAGTGCTTGATCTGTGCAGACTTCAGACCTGATTCAGACCAGACAACTTTTTCACTGGATGAAACTATTATGGATAGAGTATTTGTATTTTAGCAGGAAGCAATGGTTTAAAGTTATTAACATCTTCATGATGGATTCATTTCTTACAAACACACAGCTTTTGGCTTCACAAGACGTTAATCGATGCACTGGAGTGGTGTTGATCACCCAGTAACTACGGTCCTGCTGTGTGTTCCTCCACAGATGGGTCTGGAGCACGAGGAGCAGAAGCTGGAGATCAAGAGGCAGGTGTCGGAGCTCACGCTGTCCCTGCAGGAGAGAGAAGCTCAGATCAGCAGCCTGCAGGCGGCCCGGCACGCACTGGAGAACCAGCTACGACAGGCCAAGACCGAGCTGGAGGAGACGACCGCAGAGGCCGAGGAGGAGATCACCGTCCTCCGGGTGAGAGATTACATTGTGATGAATGAACCTGAAGTGACCATGATCCAGATCCAATCCATCTCTTTCCTTTCCCTCATCATTTAGAAGGTAACAGTTTAGTTTGGAGATCAATTCTTACTATTAACCAGTTGCATATTAGCATGCAGTACTTATACTTTTTTATTAGTACTTATAAAGCATATATTAATGCCTTATTCTGCATGATCCTATTTTAGATCTCTTAATCCTACCAAATATCTAAACTTAACTACCTTTCTAACTATTAATAAGCAGCAAATTAGGAGTTTATTTAGGCAAAAGTCATAGTTAATAGTGAGAATTGGTCCCCAAACTAAAGTGTGACCAACAATTGTATATGACTGAGATTAGCAGTTAAAAATGCCTTTTAGAGCCATGCTGTTTCACACACTACTTTTTATAAAATAGTAGGCAGAGTACAGCAATAAATAAATGTGATTTAGTTCTATACATACTGTATGGAGGATGAAACTGTTTATTGAACCTAAATTCTAAAAGAAGAAAGTTTGCATGTGTGTTTTTTATTGTTGAGTATCATATTCAATCTATCAGGCTTTTATGGCTTGTATAATATAGTGAGAATATGGAGGAATAAAATATACTTAAGGAGGAAAATAACACCCCTGGTTTTGTTCAGAGGCCAAAACAGAGCAAAAACATTCAATTTGGTGCAGATGCTGACGTTTATATGGCCAAAAGTATGAAATGCTGATGCTTGTAAATCAATGAGATCTTTATAACAATATGTGACCCTGGACCACAAAACCAGTCATAAGGGTCAATTTTCCGAAATTGAGATTTATACATCATCTGAAAGCTAAATAAATGAGCTTTCCATTAATGTATGGTTTGTTAGGATCGGACAATATTTGGCCGAGATGCAACTATTTGAAAATCTGGAATCTGAGGGTGCAAAAAAATCGAAATATTGAGAAAATCGCCTTTAAAGTTGTCCAAATGAAGTTCATAGCACTGCATATTACTAATCAAAAATTAAGTTTTGATATATTTACAGTAGGAAATTACATATAGCTTCATGGAACACGATCTTTACTTAATATCCTAATGATTTTTGACTTTTTTTTTAAATAATTTTGACCCATACAATGTATTGTTGGCTATTGCTACAAATATACCCCAGCGACTTAAGACTGCTTTTGTGCTCCAGGCTCACATATGATTCTTTAGTGTCTAAAGAGGAGACACTTGTTTTTTCACGCACCTGTCAAGTTGGAGATTTTGGAGATATATATAAAACACTTTATCTATTTGTGTCAATAGATTTCCATTCACATGTAACATGATTTCAAGTCAATAATAGAATCCATCATCCAAATAGAATCCAAATAAATGCTATTTTTGCTGTGTTCAGTACATACAATATGCATTAAATGGTTATTTATATACGTAAATATACATGACTGTAATAGCAGGAGAAAGCAATGAAGATGTTGTGAGAAAAACCAATACAACTTCACAGTATACTGCTATGTTTTCTCTCCTCCGCCATATTTAAAGTTTAGTCGGGTATCAGAATTATCTCAAGAGTTTCCCAGTTGTAAATACGACTTATTTGACTACGTAACCCACGTTACTTGCAGTGTGTTATTCCCGACACTGCTGACAGCACTGTAAGTACTGTACATGACAGAGATTCCAGCAATACATGCCTTTATATGTGCAAAAAAACAAGGGGTGAACACTGATTTATTCAGAGCAGAAGTACATGTCACATTTTAAGTGATGGACACAATCTATCTACATGCCTGCTGTCATCTAATTCATCGTTTTTTAGCAGTTAAATGTAGTTTAATTGTACAAACATCCACCTTTATCGAGTGCTTTATATGTCTTTTTGCTGTCAAATCTTTACTGATTTTTATGAAGTGAGCATAATAACTTTTATATTTTAAGATGAACACTTACTGGACTGAAGCAGATAGGTTTACTTGATTATCCAGACTGTTTTATTATTATTATTATTTTTTTTTTTTAAATCATGTTCAAATGTGAGTCTCAAATCTGATCATCAGGCTTTCAAGGAACGTTTATTTGTTCATCTCTCGATCATCACTGTATTGCATTGCATCATGTTTTGAGAGTGACGACTGATATTTATATCATTGTACATAAGCAAAGTCTGTACCGTTATAAAGATCTCATTGATTTACATTACAAGCATCAGAATTTAATCTCTTTTTGTCCAAATAAATATCAGCATCTGTACCAAATTGCATATTTTTGCTTCGTTTGGGCAGTGTTTTTTTTTATTATAATAATTATTATTTTTAAATTGTCTAAAGGTTTAATAAACTATTCAATTTCAAGTTTTTTTTTTTTTTTTTGTGACTATTACTGTACATGCTTTACAGAGTTAAAATATAGTGACAAAATGTTCCTGCTGTGATTTTTTTTATTAATATTGATTTTATAATGGGCCTACACGTTTAAATACATTCTATTTCATCAAGTTTTGCATGTGTTTGTATTTTGGATAAATGGATAGAATGTATTTTTGGCTATTGCTACAAATATGCCCCAGCGACTTAAGACTGCTTTTGTGCTCCAGGGTCACATATAGCAGATACAAAATGATTTAAATATCAGTCCTCACTCTATATATCCAATACGATTATATTTAAATGCTTAGGTAGCTTATGATCAAAACATGTAATGCAATGCAATACAATACAATGATGATTGAGTGCTGAACAAATAAACGTTCCTTAAAAGCCTGGTGATCATATTTGGGTCAATATCACTGTAGGGTGCCTTTTGGTGCCCTGTACATAAATAACTCATTTGCCATGATAACTTAACATAAAAATGACCATGAAAGGGTGTGTTATATTAGGCTAAGTTTTTATATTCATAACAAAAGCATTACTTGGCTCATTAGATACATTTTCTAGATTTTTTAGTTTTGTGTAAGAGGATGCGTGTTATTTTGCTATGTCCCATGCACTGCTCATTAAATTTGAATGATAGTAGAATGTTGTCAAATCATAAAATTAAAAAATTTTGTTCTCCTGTTAATATTTTGTTAAATAAGAGATTACTTAATTTGAGTGTATTGATCATTTGGTAATAAAAACTATATTTTTATTTAATAAAAAAGAAGAGTTTGTCCATGTCCATTAAATTGTTTGAGTTTCTTTAAAAACACATGATTTACATAAAATATTTTATGTATTTATAATTTGAAAGCAAATAACAAATAACCCTGTTTAAGAAAGGGACATCATACCTTTCAGAAAATATAATTTGCATCTTAAGTTTGCAATGAAAACGTATTTAACAGTAACATATATGTCCATAACAGGGTGGACATATCTTATGGTTTATGCTTTGAATAATGGCCCATAATTATCTAAAAAATGTGTGGGAGCTCAGCTAATATGTTTCTATAGTACTTGAGTGTCTACTATTTATGACATGACATAAAGTGAATGGGAAATTAAAACCAAAATGTTTGAGTATTTTGAGGGTTGAAAGGCACTCTATGGTGATATTGACCCATTTGATACATTTGAACCTGATTTTTGGATGATGATGTCTGGATAATAAAGTGAAACTAGGTTGCTTCAAACCAGTAAGTGTTCATCTTGAAATATTACTAACAATATCAAAGTCATTCTTATGTTTACTTTATAAAAATCAATAACAGTTTCACAGCAAAAAGACACGTGAAGCACGAGCAGAAGGTGGACGTTTGTACAGTTATACTAAATTATACTTGATAAAAAAGTCGATTGAGTTCAACAGGTTTTTCAGCAAAGTTTTGATCATCTTGATCATTTAGAGACCTTTGAAATTTCCGTATCAAATATAATGCAGTAGTTTTTTTGTAAGTAACTTAAGCAAAAGGCAACTCAACTGTAGTGTAACTAAGAAGTTTGCATCTTGGCAAGCTAAAGTTTCAAAGTAGCTTCTGAAGGATCAGCAGTCGATATAATCCCTATCATTTCATATCACCATTTCACAGACTCCACGCATCTCCTTTATATCGTTCAGTCGTAATGAATGATCATGTGGCGAATCTCTCAGTGGACCATTGTGTTCCTCTTCTTCACAGTGCTGTAAACATCTTCCCACGCTCTTCTGCGGTACGCGTTTCAATGCATCTATGACATGGTTTCATCCTCGCACCCGCCGCTCTCATGCATGACATCACACCCGTCATGACACTCGAGTTCATTTCACAGCGCCGCTGCTATCTGCTCAAATGCACTTTACTGCAGAACTCCACGCAGCACTCTGGCAGAGTGCGCACTTCTTGCAAACATGGCCATTTTCACTCTCATTTTGTTTCTTTTTTTTTTAGGCCCATCGGGATGAAATCCAACGCAAGTTTGATGCCCTGCGAGACAGCTGTGCGGTATGCAAATGAGCTTTTCTCTGTTTTTGACTCATCACTTGTGACCCACACCAGTCCTACCTGTACAGATAGAAAGTGTGGATGGTGCAGTTTCCATAAGCAGCATCTGAGTCGGAACTAAATCCATAAATAAACCTTTTTTTTTTTTTTTTTCAAATATCACCATTTTAGTTTAAAATTTATATGAATGTAGACTAGTGTTCAAAAGTTTAGGGGTGTTAAGATTTTTGAAATATTATTGAAAACAGTTGTTTTATGCTCACCAAGGCTGCATTTGATCAAAAATGCAGTAAAAACAGTAATAATGCAAAATGTTTTTACAATTTAAAATAAGTGTATTTTAGTTGAAAACATATTAAAATGTAATTTATTCCTGTGATGCAAAACTGATTTTTCAGCATCATTACTCCAGTCTTCAGTGTCACATGATCCTTCAGAAATCATTCTAATATGCTGCTCAAAAACATTTATTATTAACAGAACAGCAGAACATGCAGAACAGCATTTATGTGAAATAGAAATATTTTGTAACACATTTAAAAAAAAAATGCTTACTGTCACTTTTGATTTAATTTAATGCATCCTTGCTGAATAAAAGTATTAATGTCTTTAAAAAAAAAAACTTGGCCCTGAAGTGTAAAGGGTAAAGTGTTTCTTTTGGATCAGTGACTGGATCTGTATCATTTTAATCAAGCATTTTTCAATTCATTTAAATAGCCCAGCAGGGTGACAAATAATCTCTTAATTAAAAGGAGCTCATAAAAATGGCATGTACTCTTGACATTTATAAAAGAATTAGAAAAGTATTATTTAAAATAATTTTAGATGAAGAATAGCATGTCACACTGCTGTTGCAGTTTAATAAATCATGTCATGCAACTCATTTACCAAGATATTGAAAAATATATATTTATATTTTATATATTTTTTGCATTTGTCACTTTTATCCAAAGCAATTTAAATATCCCATGTAAAAAATAACCAAAAAATACCGAAAAAAAAAAGAATGATTTCTGACCGATCATGTGACACTGAAGACTGGAGTAATGATGCTGAAAATTCAGCTTGGATCACAGAAAATAGTTATTTCAAATTGTTGTAATACAATCACACACACATTGTTGTTAGTGGAAACTAACGCTGTCCACCATTTTATTTTCGAATGCATCTGTTTTCAAGCATCCTGAAAGTTGCTCATCCAGCAGTCATTGATTTGGGGAACGGTTGCATTTTGAAGTGCGATTGTTTGCGTTGCCCCTGGAGTGTGTTTCATTATTATCAAGCACAGAGCATCTCTGCCCTACTTTCACTGTCCACCCACACTCAAGCTGTTTGAGCGTCTCCACCGATGCAATATTCTCACCCGGTCCCAGCGCTGTTTTTAGACGCCCATCTTCTCCACCGCGCCGAGGAGTTATATTACATTTTTCCTTCATCATACTCCTTTGCAATCATAACTGGAGCTCAGATGAACGTATAAACTTGGAAATGCGAATTTCATTGTCTTATTAAAATGAAAACATATGGACTTGTTTTTGTATGTATGGCAAGTCAAGCATAGTTATTACTATTGCTCACACTTACGGCTAAGGGCTTGTGTGAGTGCTAGTAATAGTTATTCCCAGCTTTAAAGTGTCTGAAGCCTCGCTGTCAGTCTCGGTGAGTTTTGCTGATGGTGGGACTACAGACAGACAGGAGAGCGGCGTTTGCTCTTCGATCGGTCTTTCGTAAGCTCTTATAATCCCAGCCCCTGGTGACGGCTTCTTTCCACCAAACATGCTTTGATCTTCTCAATTTTTGAGCTGTATTTTGTATAGTAAGGGTATAAAATAACATTGTATTCCTTTGCACTTTTATTCACATATTCAATGCCTGTGCAACACTAAAAACAATGCTAGGGTGTTGTGCTGTGGTTGCTAAGATGTTTTTTTTTTAGTTTCTCTTGATCATAGATGGCATAAATCTTATTCAATGAATAGATATGCTCTTAATATTTTTGTAATTTCATCTGAATATCATAATTTGTGCGATTTAGTCATTTGAAACAGTTTTGAGGTTAATATTTTTCTAGAAAATACGTATATAAAAAATATATAAAATAATTATATTAATTTGAATATCAAAGGTTGTGTGTGTGTGTCTGTTTACTAATGTGGGCACATTGTTTTATGGATTTATGGAGTGCAAAATATTGTATTGATTTTTAATGAAAAGATAACATTAGACCCAAAAGGCCCCAAGTGGCATCTTATGTTATTATTATTTTTTTAATACTTACTGTAATTTATTGGGTTTTTCATTTTAGACATCCTTATAGGATAACTGAGTGAAATTATTCAGTTTGAAATAACAGTGTTGCTGTTATGGAATATTGTTACTTAAATATAAGAAATTAAACATGTATATATTCATATTCCTTTACATAAGTCATATAATAATTTACCTTTCAGATGAATCTCTTTTACTGGGATTCTGCTTTATTTGACATTGGTTATTCAATTATTAAAATAAATGTAAAAATAAATGAATAAATAAATAAAACAGTTTTTTTTTGTATTTTACTTTAAAGACACTTATAATTTTGAAGTATAATAATATAAGATAATATAAGAATAATATTAAAAGTAATGCATAAATTGAAAGGTAGTGAGGTAAGGTGGCTTATATAATAATAATTTTACATTTAAAAATGTCTAAAGATTTAAATGGAATGGTTGATAGTTGATTTAGTATTTTACATTAATGAAAAGGTAAAAAATATGAATATATAATTTTATACTAATATAAAATAATATGATATATATAAAAATGTATACATTCTGCGAAAGTTAAATAAGTAAGATGGCCTCTAAATAATTTTACAATTAATAATTTTCAAAAAAATAGACTAGTTGATTTAGTAGTTTACATTAATCACACTTAAAATTATAATATTATATAATATATAATATAGTATAATATAATAAATAATAGTATTAAAAGGCATATATACGTTCTATAAAAGTTAGTGAGGCAAGATGGCATCTTTGAATAATTTTACATTTTGTGCTATGAGAACTAAATGAGCAAATGTTTCTATTTATTTTCGTTAACACATTAGCTGATGCATCATCATCATCCTGCACATGCTTAACTTACACCTAAATACATTGCTATTTAAAAGTGCACAATGGCATCTTCCCTCATCCTACCCTACTACCTTTCTAAGCTATCAGATTTCTACCTGAACAATAAAAAACTACCTAGCAACCAAGCATAACACCCTAGCAACCACACGGCATTGTGCAAATAGCCATTCAGAAGGCGGCAAACAGATGCATTTTTTAATTTAATCAGTGAAAGATGATAAAAAGCTCAACACAGGGCAAATAAACTATAGCTGGGTAAAAAGTGTTTTGGTCAGTAGTTAAAGTGGGTCAGTGTCTGTGGCGCTGTGCCTTTAACAGTAATGACAATAATAATGAGTGCAGAAACCTCCTCCGCACCAGAGGAATGCTTGGCACTGCTGCGCGCCAGCACTCTTGACCAGCTCTGCAATTTCATGCAAACCTGCGTCTCTTCTGCTTGTCAGATGGAGGCTTTGGAAATGTGTGAAGTGAAACGAGAAAACGCTTCTAAAAAGGGCTTTAGTCAAAGACGATTTTCTGATGAAGTTCAGAGTACACTACCAGTCAAAAGTTTTTGAACAGTAAGATTTTTAATGTTTTTTAAAGAAGTCTCTTCTGCTCACCAAGCCTGCATTTATTTGAGTACAGCAAAAACAGTAAAATTTTGAAATATTTTTACTATTTAAAATAACTGTTTTCTATTTAAATATATTTTAAAATGTAATTTATTCCTGTGATTTGAAAGCAGAATTTTTAGCATCATTACTCCAGTCACATAATCCTTCAGAAATCCTTCTAATATTCTGATTTGCTGCTCAAAAAAACATTTATTATTATTATTATGTTGACATTTTTTTTTCAGGTTTCTTTGATAAATAGAAAGTTCAGAAGAACAGGATTTATCTGAAATAGAAATTTGTAACATTAATATCTTTATGATCACTTTTGATCAATTTAAAGCATCCTTGCTAAATAATAGTATTAATTTCTATAATCCCCCCCCCCCCAAAAAAAGAAAAAAATAATAAAAAAAATTATACTGACTCCAAGCTTTTGAATGGAATAGTGTATAATGTTACAAAAGCTTTTTATTTCAGATAAATGCTGATCTTTTGATCTTTCTATTCATCAAAGAATCCTGAAAAAATTGCACTCAACTGTTTTCAACATTGATAATAAACAGAAATGTTTCTTAAATCAGCATATTAGAATGATTTCTGAAGGATCGTGTGACTGGAGTAATGATGCTAAAAGTTCAGCTTTGATCACAGGAATAAATTACATTTTAAAATCTATTCAAATAGAAAGCAATTTTAAATAGTAAAAATATTTCAACATTTTACT